AAATCTACTTCTCGAGACCTCATCTAAAGTACTTGAATGAACAATTGGCAAATCTCGAGCCACAAGGTAAGATTAAATCCTTTACCATAACGCTCTTTATTTATATCTCATCCATTTCTCATACTAATGGCCTTCTCTTTCTCTGAAGAAATTCTCCGCTGGTGCCTGATTTCTCTTCCTGGCCTGCACCAAACAACTGCATTTGGCCTCACCGGGTTGGTAACCCTGGATATGCTATCCAAGATTAACGCTGGTACCAAACGTCAAATCGACCTTATCTTTCTCGATACTTTCTATCACTTTAAAGAAACCCTCGAACTTGTCGACCGTGTCAAGACGCAATATCCATCTACCAACTTGCATGTGTACAAGCCTTTAGGCTGCGAGACTGCTGCAGAGTTTGAGAAAATCAACGGCGAGAAACTATGGGAAACCAACGATAACCTGTACGACTACCTCGCTAAGGTTGAACCTGCACAACGTGCCTATTCCGAGCTTCGTGTAAAGGCTGTCCTCACAGGACGTAGGAGGAGTCAGGGTGGAAAGAGAGGTGATCTTGATATCATCGAGGTGGATGATGCTGGTTTGGTGAAGGTGAACCCAATGGCAAACTGGTCCTTTCAACAGGTCAAAGCATACGTTGATGAACACAACGTTCCATACAACTCTCTGTTGGACCAGGGTTACAAGAGCGTTGGTGACTGGCACAGCACTAGGTTAGTTTAACGGCTTAAACTTTTCTGTACCTTCAACTAACCTCTATATAGCCCAATCAAGGAAGGTGAGGATGAGCGTGCTGGACGCTGGAAAGGTACCAACAAGACTGAGTGCGGTATTCACAACAAGCGATCGAAATATGCCGAATTCCTGAGAGCAAAAGAGTTGAAAAACAAGGAGGAAGCTCTTGTAGAAGCCCCTGCGAAACGTCGAGACACAACAGTCCGCATCTGCCGTTTCCGTTTAACCTGGGATCCCACCGAGAAAAGTCATCATAGTGCATTGGGTTAAAAAAGGATTTTTGCTTTTCGCTTTCGTGGGTGCATAATTTGTCGTTTCTATTTTTATTGACTTTGCACGAGCACCGGGGCTGTTATTCATTTTGGGGTGCAATACGGCGTTCTTTTTCGATACGTTCATGACGGTTATATATTCTTGTTGTCAATATTCTTCTTGTCTAAGATTTTTCATAGCGTGGATCTAAAAATCTGTAAGGTAGATTCTATAGAAAAACCTAATATTAAGGGGTTTTCACAGATTGGCACAGCAATCGTTGGAGTGAGCAAATGCGCTGTAGAAGATGGCTGATAGGGCGCAGGAACAGGGGAGCCCACGTCAACTTGCATCACAGTTTGCCGTAATCTGCAGAAACAAAGACGATTGAGGTTGACGAGATTAAGGCATCGATGACACGCGACATGCCAAAAACGTGGGGAACAAGGTAGCTCGTTAGCGCGGGGTGTTTGTGGGCGGCCTTAGGCGAATTTAGGCGGCCATTTTGACGCGCAAAATAAAGAGAGCCCAGCTTCCCAAACCCAACGCTAATCTCCAGCTCCTTCTTCATTCTCTACAGCCAAAGCTCTTTAATCCCAAAATGTACCGACGAAAAGCCAAACCCGTGAAGGTTAAGGAGGTGGAATTCCCCGCTGATCTTGAGAAGTTAGGGTAAGTTTTCCCTGACGTCAATCGGTTATGCGGCTCTGATTTGAATGTACAATTGCATCATCATACTGACAGATGTTCTTGACTCTAAAGACTCTTCATCAACGAGAATGATCAATTGCGCCAAATTGACAAGCCTGACGAAGGATTCGAATATTATTTCCACGGTAAATCAAATGGATATGTTTACCACAGGAAGCAAACGGCCCCTCCAAGAGAGAGGGAGCGAATGAACGAGCGGCGTCGTGAAGCTGTTGATGGTGTGTTGCTCTCTCCAGTTTTCAATTTCAAACACATTTACTGACCGTAAAACAGAATGCATCCGCAAGATTGTTATGGACCGTCTTGAACAACGCGGGATGAAAAGACTAGCACTTCCACTCGGGGCAGCCCCCGAAGAACCCCACCTTGATATTCTTGTTTCCGATAACCTGGACACATGCAAAAGGCTATTGATCCTTACACCTGATTCTTATGGAAGCAATTTAGGTATTTGGGGAATGCGTCAAATACAGCAGGGTTCAATTAACGTAAAACATACTACAATCCTATTTCTCTTTCTCAGCACTGACGATAGCGAGTAGGTTGGCTCTATGATAAATACTGTTGATTTTGCATTCAAGAATGGGTATGCTATTGTCATCCTAAGCCCGGCGGAGACGGTTTGGGATCCCGAAACTAGAAGAGCTATGAATCATCTCTCCTGGAAGGCTAAAGATAAAAAAACGGCAACCCTGGACCGTATCAAGAACACCATCCCGTGCAACGAAACCCCAGAGGAGCATGTAGAGTATGTCTTCAACAGAATCTTGAAGGACAGGGTCCCCAAGGATGTTGAGATTGATGTCATCGCCTGTGGATTTACTGCTTATGCCATCACCAATTTCTTGAATGAAAATTGTGGGTATTGCCCTCAAATGAAGCGGGACACAGTGCTAATTGTTTCAATAGGGGACGAATGGAGTGACCGGATGTTCGCCATGGCGTTTTCTGAATCCTCGCATGCCATTGGAGGTATCACGTGCGAGGAACTTCGCAAATTCTTCATGCTCGTATGTTATCATTCTATTCGACTACTTATAAGCCCTGACAGAAAAATAGCGAGTTCGTAACTACGTAGTCCATAGTGATCTCAAAGGGGAGTTCCTTCTTGACCCTCGATTTGGTTGTGCTACTTTCTCGACAGGTATGTTGTTAAACCTCATTCAATCTTGGAAGAGATACCTATACTCACCCATTCTTATTAGGCACAATGCATGCTCAAGCGATCGTCCCTGAATGCCACGACCTGATTATCGAATATCTGAGAGACGCCCACATAGATCCTGACAACTGCAATCCAGATGTCCCTATCATCGTTGGTGACGCTCCGGACAGGGATGAATGGATTGAGCAGATGGAAAAACGGGAAGCCATGGGTAAAGCTGGTACTTGGGATGAATGATCTCGTATATCCAATCATTTTTTCTCCATGTCAAAGATACCTGTAACAATCTTGTAAAGAAACATGATCCAGTTTTAGGCTTTTTTTTTAAAAAAAAAATCATTTTAAATTTCTGGAAATCGGTTCAGGGTCTTTAAGCCTTAAGGCCCAGAATTTCCCCCTGCCACAGGGCAAGAGAGCTTGGGAATGAAGAAATTTTTACAGCGTAAGCTGGGAGCCCAAGCTATTCCATCAAGAGGCGACCTTCAAGGGGGAAAAGATGGCTGGGCCAAGCAAAGATTCTAGAATGCAATATGTGCTTTTATAACTACTTTGAGGCCTTCGGATACAATTTTCCACTTTAAGCCGCCAACCCAGGAGCGCGGAGTGCCCTCCACCATAACTATTATGACTTCTTCTCGTTGATCATTTCCCATTCCTAAGTGATTGAAAGAACGATAGAACAGATGCAGGATCGATGGTAACCAGATGAGTTGCATGCACGAGTAATGATTCCTTGCATGAGCACCTATTTTTGAGCACCTCATTAATATTTGCTATCTTATTGCTGCCTATAGTTCTAGCCACCGATGATCTTCCCCGGGATGGCTAGATTTCACAAAGATGGATCGTGACCCCTAAAGAACTCCCACTCACGTTATTGTTCTCGACCGGCGTCTGGAAGGGTTCATCTCCGCATAGTACAGAGAATACGGGATTCAGTGACTTCAGGCCCTTACTCCGAGTAGAAACATCATTCAACTAGCATTGACGCGACGACAACGATAGAAAGTGTTTTTGAAAGCTTTGATTTTGATGCGGCGTGGGTATGTAGGGCTGCGCAGCTGCTAAGTCTTGGTCATTGCTTTTAGTAGCCATGCTACTTTTGGCTATGAGACACACCAGTTAGACTCCAAATCTGGCTGGTCTGTGTTGCCTTCAAGTATTCAACACTCCATTTGGCAGCCAGCCTCCAGGAACTAAACGTTTAAGGTGAGGCCCCAGCGCCTGTCTGTCTCTGTTGGAAAAGCCACCAACATCAAGACTCTATTAAGCGCGATGACAATAATGCACGTTTCCTAGGCAACTTTGCCTTCCGACAAATTACGTTCAAACACTTTGTTTCGTTTACAGTATTCATAGAACGAGCAATTTCCGTGCTCACGTCTTCTTTTTTGTGCGCACAACTTCAACTTACGCTCGATAGGGCATTTGCCACAAAGGAAGCCTAGAGGATGTGTACATTGCACAATGCCTTCAGTGGATGATATTTCGGCCCGTAAGGCAAAGTAAATATATGAAGGGGATCAATACCTCACGAGAGTAGGTAGATATACTCTATTGTTTCACGGTTTGCTGCCTTGCATCGTATCATGGTAAGAACGTTTGAAGAAACCTTGCACCGAAAGATCGGCGTGTGGCTTTTTCTGGGATGGTTACCGAGAACACCGACAGGTTCTAAGCTGGGACCAATCCAAATCGAGAACAGGGGTCTGGGGGCGTTGTTGATGTCGAGCAGCTGGCTGGTCCACACACAAAACCCAACCTCCAATCTGTCTTGCAGCTTACGGTGAAAAAACTCTTGCGGGGTAGCCTTTGTGATCTCCACTTTGCTTGGTGCGATTCGCCGTCTCGCGCTCAATGGCCCTTGCAGTGCTCCAAGTGGTGGGTAGGAACTATTGATGCCGCAATCATCTCTCTTTGCGGCCTGGTTGAGGCAAATGTATAAGAAACCTGTCCCGACTCCTTGCGATGGGAACTGCAGTGACTTGGACATTTATTTTTTTCCTTCTGTGCTGTCGAGTCAAACGTAGCAAGCAAAGGGTTTCTTCCGGTGATATTCACTCTTTTTACCTGCATTTCCTCGAGAGTTCCGATCAGCCTGAGCTTGTTTTTTCCGGGAGAAGGAATATATACAATGGCCCTAAGTAATATGCCTTTCACCGGACTCTACGACGAGAGGGGTACGGCTTGCCCGGCTTCACTTATCCATTGCTCTGTTGAGGTGTCAATACATGGACTTCGAAACCTTGTATCCCTGGGGTTCTTGTTCCAGAATACATCCCAGAACGACTTTGCAGATGCGGTGTTCCACTGTCGTCTCGCCGAAGACTCTTCTGTAACTTTCATCGATTGTAGTATCGAAAGGTGTACCGACAAATTGATATCGGGGGATCCCGAAGAGCGACTCGAGCCTAGAAAATGCTCGAATATATTACATTTCGGCTCGTTCTTCCAGTGTAACGTTGGGCGTGTGGAGGCTGGAAAGGACGCGGTCATATTTATTCGGTTGGTGTTGTCTCTGTTCTTCCGATCCGCATGTTCCTTTATTTATCTGCTGCAGCCAGCAGCAACCGGAAGCACCTTCTGACGTGTATGCCAGCTACATTTATGAAACAGTTGTCGAAGAAATGCTGTCCACCTCTCCGTTCCTCTTCCTTCGTCCCTAAAGGGGGGAATGGTGACAAGAGCTCATGAGATGTATCCAGTGGAAAACGCTACGATATTTTCCTTCAACGTTGAGTCGGCCATGCCTGGCCAGATCCTGGATGTGCGTTCCGATTCACACTCGATAAGCACGGATATCGAATTAAATACAGCGACAATCGAAGTTAATGAGCCAGTTGTTCCAGTAAGTGTCTATGATAGCTATCTTCTATACATATGTTTTAGGGAATTTCAGTTTGGTCCAGCGGCTGATATTGAACACGTAACAGGGAAACGACGATTTCCAGCTCACCTTCTTTACCGAGAATTTTTCAGATCACGATTCGGAATCGGAGGGAGGGTTTACAGATTTTAGCGAGTGTTTCCAGAATGATGGGACAGATGTATCGGAGTGTCACACTCCGAGTTACCAGGACTACGAATCTCGGAGCTGCACTACAGGAATAACATGGTGCGATGCTGAAGACGACGATGATGATGATCACTTTGCGGGGCGGTCGTTCCTTTTTGCCGAAAGCGATAATGGAAGTAACTACGGTGATCAGGAGGATGAAGACATGGAGGAAGGTGAGGTGTATGGGGTGGAAGGAACGTATGTGTATGGAGAGGAGGACGAAGCCGACAACGAAAAGGAAGAGGAAGTGGAGGGGGAGGAGATCTTCTACGACTGCTTAGAGAGCGTTCCGTCGATGGAGTTAGTTGCAGAGTGGACAAGAGTTCGAGATTCAATGGATTCCTATGTGTCCTCTCGGTTTACCTGGTATGACGACTCGGATCCTGAAGACTCAAACGAAGTCTTTTACTCTGAAGGGGAACTTTCGGATGGACCTCATACACCTCGTTTAACCGTTGGAACCTTCTATGATTCCTCTGTGGTACGTTTCTCACCGATCTTTCGTCCCATATTCCAGTGCTAAGATCCAATTTAGGAGACTGCTCAAGCCGTATCACCAACCCGGGCAGCTGTCGTCAACATCCCCCGACGAGCTTCAGCAACCTCATCCTCAACCAAATCAATGCTTCTAACACCTCCATCAACACCACAATATTCCCCGCACAATACCTCGCCCTTCAAGCTGCAACAGAGACAGCTAGTACCAGTAGACCCCCGCACTCTCGTCCACGAACTCGATGATCAGCTCCGAAACTCGTCGAGTATGTTTCTAGAGCTCAACGAATCCTTCTCCAGGACAATAGGCATTCCACTTTCGACCCTTCAGCAACACGAACAGTCCCTCATGCTCCCAGACATCCGCAAATGGGCCCGCAACGGCAATCTGGGCCAGCTTAATTGCACTTCAATACCTCGAGTTCAGCGGCTGCAGAGAGCTTGCTGCAAAAGATCCGGACTTTGCTGAAGACTACGGGTTTTTACGATTCTCGCTAAATGGGCCCTGTTGCGTACTGAGGATTGGGTGCAATCAAGGACTGAGGAATTGGCCTTATCAGACTTGAGTAAAGTTGCTCGCGAACTATTTCCGTAATAACTGCCGTTGCATTTTTCCTAAGACATTTCTTTTATTTTATTTTTTATTTTTTTTCTTTTTAGCTTTTATTGTATGCATTTTACTGCTTTAGTAATTTTTCGGGAGCTTTGTTTTTTCATGGCCCCATGTTCATTTCTCGGGCGGGCGGACGGGCGGGCGCGTTTTCGTTTGTAGTTTTCGTCTGCACTTTTCGTAAGGGCAGGACCCGGGTGTTCAAGTTTATGGCGTTGATTGCTTTTTTATTCTTTTTTCAATTCATTTCTTAGGCGCAGGTTTGATTTTCTCTTCTTCTTGTAAGTTTGGTTATTTAGGGATCAATATGTGGCATACGATGCATTGAGTTTCGGGGGCATGAAAGTTTTATGTAGCAAGGGAAAAAAAAAGCAATTTTTGAACTGAATTGGATACGGGTAGAAGAAAATAGTAGCGTGTTAAGATGGCGTGGTAGACGACTAAGACCTAAAACGAACCGGTTTGTTACTTTTTCACCCGTGCTATGCCTATATGAGCAAGTTCATATAATAGTAATTTTGACGATTCAAGAAGGAAGAGTAGGAAAAAAATGCAATGCGCCAAACCCGGATCGAACGGGTGACCTTCAGATTTGTGACTGATCAACTTCAGTCTGACGCTCTCCCAACTGAGCTATTAGCGCTTGTTGTTTCATTTCTAGCAAGTCTTGAACAGTTTGTGTGCTGGGATGCCGCAATAGCGCCGACCACCTACAGGGTTACTAACGTTATATAGACTAGACAGGGATAAGGATATGGCTTAGCGCGGGTTTCTATATGCGAGTGATGCCTGATGATTTCTCCCGATGTACTCCCTCAGCAGAGAAGTTTAATACAAGCGTCAGGATTTTAAGACTTAGAGTCTTACAAGAGTGGGGGGGGAGGTTGTAGGGGATATTGCACCAACTTCCCCCACTGTGCCGTGCAGTCACTCGTTTAGAATTTCAAGGACTGTGCGTCGCGCAAACAGTCTGTAGGTACCCGTATCGTCTCAAAGTAGCCTATATTCCAATGTCCCAACCTAATTTTTTTTTCTTGCTGACCACTCGGGAATTATCATTAGCCGAGCTCGTGGAGTGCAGGGCTGGGAGATGGTTTGAGAGAAGACTATAGAAACTATCTCCAATGGTAGTTGTAAGCCGTGCGACATCCGGACGCGGCTGATGAATTTCTGTTCTATATATTGGCGAATTTATAGGTTAAGATGCGTGGGGGTTAATGCTCCGCACAGAATCCAGGTAGGAATGTATATGCTTTGTTTATTCGTTTATAGAGAGTCATTATCTGCCCTCATGCATCATCGTGAACCCCAATGATTCCATGTCCCGCAATAGAATCACACGATGTCACTCGAACCTACTTATGCGGCAGCTCCTAGAGCCCACCATCACGAGCATTAATAGCAGTGATAACAACGACATGGAATCCCCAAATTCTCAAACACCAGTCATGCGCACTATATGGTATATTATTGGCCCAGGCGGCTGCGGAAAATCCACCATTGCCTCCTTCCTCTCAGCGAAGCTCAACCTCCTCTATATCGAAGGCGACGATGTAATGTTCCCTAGCTAGCTCTCTATGGTTGACGTAGTGCTGACAGCTCGTGCAGTTTCACCCCCCAGCGAATATCAAAAGATGAGTGCCGGCATACCGCTCACGGACGATGACCGGTGGGGCTGGCTCAACGCTCTCCGTGATGCTGCGGTTGCCACTCCGGGAGGGGCTGTGGTTGCCTGCTCGTGTCTCAAGAAGAAGTACCGCGATATCATGAGGAATGTGAGCGATGATGTGCAAGTGAGGTTCGTTTACCTGCGCTTGACGAGCGAGGTTGTGATGGAGCGGGTCAAGGGGAGGAAGGGCCACTTTTTCGAGGCGACGCTGGTGAAGAGCCAGTTTGAGGCGTTGGAGGAGCCGAGCGAAGAGGAGGTGGATGTGGATGTGGTCGTTGTGGATGCGGCGGGCAGAAGGGAGCAGGTGAAGGAAAACACCTGGCTCCAGATGAGTAAGGTGACGTGCGGATAGGGCCCTGTTTTCACATTTGCGGAATGTTCTTTGTAATGCTTGTGTGTCTAGAAAGAAATAATAATAAAAAACTATCAAACAACTTTATATACTATAGTCTTGGGGTGAATACGTTTAAGAAGTTTTAACCACATATGATAGACGCCTTCTGCTAGGATTGCGGGGAGAGAAAACATGGTCAAATACATGTACTACATGTAAATACCAACTTAAGTAAACCACCCACCTTTCCATTGATATACACCTTTCTCACCTTGCATGTATCTCTATCTAATATGTATTGAAACTCATGCACGGTACTACTTACATGTAGTAATACATGTATCATGGCTACTAGTAAGTACCTACGTACTCGAGCAATTGGATCCGTCGAGCATGTAGACTCGACCGGGCCATATATCGTATTCTATGCTGTCCACTATATGCAGAACGGGCTCCACTATAGGCCCACTATAGGCCCTGGGTTAATGGGTTCAAGTCGACCATTGGATATTAACACATAAATTAACTGCTGCTTTGCTAACAACTTCGCTTAGAATATGACCGTATACATCTACGGGACCGATATTCTATGGGATATTACTATAGCTCGTACAGAGCCGATTTCTTATGACTAAGATGCATTTTGGGTTCAAGTGAAGGGGTTTGTTAAGACCATTTAAATGATTTGGAGTCCGTGTGCTGAGAATTAACTGGTAAGTTCTAGCATTGAAATTACATGTAGCTACTAATATGTGCATGTACGTTATAGAAGTGAATATCTGGTGGGATTTGTCCAGTCAAGAGAAAGAGAGCTCGCTACTGCAACATAATATCGATACTATGGTACTGGATGTAGGGAGCCGTTAATAGCTATAGCAATGTGTACAATAGTAGTTACGGATGTCGTGGCAGAGCTAGAGGAGACGTGTAGTCACTATGACACACCAGTAGAGTACTTAAGAAGGTTCCCTCCGAACCTCCTAATTCAACCATCATCATTACTACTTCTCCCGAAACACCTCCTACACTGGATGGATTGTGGGTGCTGTCTTGTAAGGCTAAGGTATCGATAGCATAGCTCTGTTTAGTCGGTGAAAAAGTAATGCGAGGGATTCGAGTAGGAGTATCTAAGACCGAATTATCTGGCTAATTGAGCAGATCCTCGTTATATTATCAGAGAACCAGATATATATAGGTTCTCAATATCAACATGCAAAGTGTCTACTATCTGATTTCGATTGGATGTGAGGTTAGGCTTGCTATCATTTTGAAATCGCATGAACTGTCATTCGACGTTTAATAGGAATATCATACTGAGGAATTTTGCTCTCGGCATCTCCCCGGTAATATAATTCATATTGGTAAATGTTCATTCACCTATGCTCTTGGTTGACAGATAGGCTCATTACAAGTGGGTTATAAGAAGAGAAGCAGATAAAATATGGACCCAGAAGAAGCAGAAACGCCAGAACACCGGGAATATTATTCCCACAGAATTAAATATTTTCACGGCGAGGGGATATTCCCACGATATACAATTACCAGGTCTAAGCCCCTTTCGTGGCCCGAATACTTTCCAGCCTCAACACCCTGTTCTCCCACTCTTCCAAATTCTCCTTCTCTTCCGCTCCACTGGCCCCCGAAAACAAGCTCCACCTGCTCTTTTTCTCCTTCTGTTCCTTCTGCCCCTCTTCCATAAGCTCAATCATAGCAGCGATGTTCTTTGCTGCAACCAACGCACACTCCTTGCACTTTCCTCGCAACTGCGCCAATGGCTCACTCCGATCATACGCTTCTTTACTCCACGCAACTCCCTGCTGGCGGTCCCCCATGGAAAACATGACCTCCCCAATGTAAGCCATCGTCACAGCCTCCGCACACGGATCACTGACTGCCTCCGCAGCCTTTGAATCAGCAGGGTCAGCCGGCGGCGGCACCCTCCTCCTTGCCGCCAACACCCTCGTAAAGATCTCCAACGCCTCTGGCTCCCTCCCACAGCGCGCATAAAACCACGCCCAGCTCCGTCAGCGCTTCACCCGTCCACCGACCCCGGAAACACCTCCGAGTCCCCCCGGCGGCACCGTACACTCAACACCCTTCCTCAGCGCCTTCTCCGCGCCCTCCAGATCACCATAAAGGCCGCAATGCTGCTAGCCCGGAGCGCAGCAGCGACCTTGAGGTCCGCCCACTCCGCATCGTCGCTCTCCCGCGGCGTGTCCAGGATACGCTGATACCACTCGCGCGCCTCGGCATACTGATCCTCCTCCTCGAGGAGCTCGGCAAGGAGCTTCATGGCCGTGATGTACCCGCGCCGCCACTGCGCGCTCTGGCCCTCCCAGGCCGGCATGCGCTGCACCGTGTCGCGGAGGACCTCGACGGCGAGCCATTGCCTGGCTCGTGAAGCGCTGGAGCACGCGGGCGAAGTGTGATCCCGAGGCGGGCGGTGCGGGGGCAGCGCGGGCGGTGTTGGGTGCGTGCTTTCGACGTAGAGCATGGCGCCGGCGAAGGCTGAGGACAGTTGTGGCGAAGATTGCGGTGTAGCCGACGACGACGATGCGGGCGGCGATGAGGGACTCGCGGAGCAGGTATTCGCGCGTCTTGTCGGAGATGAGGCGCGGGTGGTTGCCGGTGTTGTGGAGCGTGAGGCGGGGGAGGGGCGTGGTTTGCGGCGGGGCGTGGCGGCGGAGGAGGTAGGGGAGGCGGGGGCGGCGGGTGTGGCGGTTGCAGGAAGGAGAGCGGGCGGGCGGTCGGCGGGCGGAGCAGGAGAGGGAGAGGGAGACGGGCCCTGGGGACAGCTCTGGAGGCCATCGACATTGCTGCAATTGGGGGTGTTGGGTGTTGGGTTCTGCAGTTAGTTAGATAGGGCAATTGCTGTCTCCAGTAACAATGAACTTCTGTGTCGTCAGATCTCACTCGGTCGTTGCTGCCCTCAGCGGTCTGCTATCTCTTATCTTATCTGCAATCTAGCGCTGAATCTAGCTGTCTAATCTAATCTAATCTGATCCATCTGCACACCTCCCTCCATCCTCAGCCATCAAGCTCAGCTACACTGTCAGCTGCCAAAATTGATGCCCCATGCAGGGGCCCAGGGATTGAGCGGCCCAGGGACACCCACAATCATGTGCAATCAAATCATATGCAGATTTTCTTCTTCACCCCCAGATATGGCCGTGGCCGGCCGGCTCCTCTCAGCTCTACTCTTAAGCTCCAGCCTCCAGCCAGCCATGAATGAAAATCCCTCACCTCTCTCCTCTCTTCCCCCTTATCTTCAGTATCTCTTGACACTTGAGCCCTTCTGAATTCTATAACTCTCTCTAATTGCCAGTTTGAACATCTCTGATACCATATCTCACAAACCTAACAACCTTAATACACATACCGTACCATACCATACCATACCATACCACACAAAATGTCAACCCACCCCTTCGGCCTCACGCCCGACCGAAGCCCTGTACTCGCAGACGCCCATTGACCTGAGCAAGCCGTACGACGAGAGCACCGTCCAGGGCAGCACCATCGTGATACCGGCGGCGCCAGCGGTATCGGCGAGGGTATGCTGCGTCGGTTCGCACCGCTCGGGTATGCCTGCACTGTCAGTGTGTTGTAGTGGTGTATCCTCTGACAGGTAGCGATTGTGAAAGCGCGACGGTGGTGATAGGGGATGTAAACACGGCGCGCGGCGAGGCGCTGATCAAGGACCTGCGGGAGTCGACGGGGAATGAGAAGTATATATCGCCCAATGCCCTCGGTTTAGATGGAAGGGTGCATGTATACTCACCTCTGTCTGCCTGCTCCACAGCCTGCACTTCCTCCACGTCGACGTCGTCTCCTACCCCTCCCAATGCGCCCTTCTTCCGCTCCGCCCTCGCCCTCTCCCCCTCCGGCCACCTCAACACCATAATCGCCAACGCCGGCGTCGGCGAGATCGGCCACTTCGAGTCCCCCACCGGGTCCCCCGACACCGACCCGCCAGAGCCACCGACAACAACAATCGACGTTCAACATCAACGGGCGCAATCTTCACCGCCCGCCTCGCCCTCCACCACCTCAAGAGCACGCCCGCAGGCAGGACCGCCACCTCCTCTTCCTCGGCAGCCTCGCCTCGTTCGCCGCCGGCCCCGCGATGGCGGTATATTCCGCGAGCAAGCACGCGGCCTCGGCTTCTTCCGCTCGCTAAGGCTGTATCCGTCCCGCGCGCGACGGGGTGCGGATGAATATTGTGTGTCGTATTTTGTGGATACGCGATTTTGCCGCTGGGTGGGCGGATGATGCTGGCGGGGCTGGTAGAGGGCGCTGGTGGAGGATGTGGTGGAGGCGGCGGCGAGGTCGTGTGTGAGCGGGGGGTGATGGGGAGGAGTCTGTGTGTGGCGCCGAGGGGCAGTGGGGCGTGATGGAGATGGGTGTGGGCGAGATGGAGGAGGTGGAGGTGTTTTCGAGGAGGCTTGTGAGGGCGCTGAATCGTTGAGGCGGCGGTTAGGAAGTGGGTGCATATGTGGTGGGATCTGTGGGTGCTGTTTGTGGTGGGGCCGGTTTTGGGGCTGTTTAGGAAGTAGTGGTGGGTGTGTGGTATGGTGTGGTGAGGGTGGGTGTGGGCTGGGCTGTGGTGGGTTTTTGTAGTTTTAGTTTTGGATACCTTATATGTCGCTGATTGGATTGTTTGGAGAAGTGTTGGTGCTGACGGTTGAGAGTACGAGTGCTCTCCTGTGCCGCAAAACTCATAGCTATCGATTGATCCCGGATCTCGTCTTCCCTGCAGAGATGTAGCCAAGCCGGCTGATTAACATTCCAGAGCAGCCATCCTAGACAAACATTGGCCCCAGACGAATCTGACCAGTAGGAGGTGAGCTTGAAGTGTCCCCAAACCATCCGCTTCAGAGAGAAGCCATCGTCGAGCACACATGGAGAGGATGATGCAAACCAGAGAGATGGGATGCTGAAGGGCGTAGACGCTGTATATGTGTGATGCCATACCTCTAAGATCAGAGAGATGGAAGCTGAGAAGGATGGTTTGGATGAGAGGGGCGATCTCTCTGGATAAAAGGCCCTTGGCCTGGCACAGCCACGTTGTCCAGAGACACTTCGTTGTGGAAATAACTCGTGGTGGGCGGGCATTCCTGCTCACCGGACCATGACCGTGGGTTAGGGTTTCTAAATAATCATTGGCAGTGCTCAGGACTACAATTAATTCAACACCTTTTGCAGTCCAGTTTCCACATATGTATCAAGCGGTATATATTCTATTTCTGTATATCAAGATCTATCTATCCAACCAACCCAAGTATACCTCAAATCAAAACGGCACATCCATATCCTCCACCCCCACCTCCTCCACCACCTCCACCGGCTTCATATGCTCCCTCACAAACCCGACCGCCACATTCGCAAACTGCCTCCCCGCGGGCAATAGTGTCCGCCGGGATGATACACGACCCTCGGCCCCGGCATACTCCTGGACCAACGCGAGGCTTCGCGCCTCATCCACGACCGTGTCCAGCGAGCCGATAAAGTGCAGCGTCGGCGTGGCGATCTTGGGCTCGTAGAAGTAGTCGTAGCGCGGGCCGGGCGCGCGGAAGCCGCTGTACACGATGCCGAAGCGGAAGGGCGGGTGGGGTGTTGTGAAGGCGGCGGGGCGGGAGGGGGCGTGCGAGGGCTCGAGGAGGGAGGCGAGGAGGGAGGTGAGGGCGCCGCCTTGCGAGAAGCCGATGCAGCCGTCGAAGGGGCCTGGTGGTTCACACGTACTGCAATTAGTCCTCACACAGCCTACTAGCTACTGCTCCGGCATCGAGAAGAGAGAACTAACCTCGCTGTCCAGCAGCTTACTCAAGAACGCCCACGTCTCGTCCAGCCCCGTGTACTCCCCCGTCGCATCGCTGCGCCGCCACCACGCCCAGTTGTCCGCGCTCTGCTCCTCGCCGCCCTCGTTGCTGGCGGGCGTGTGGCCGGGCAGGTCGGAGAGCTTGAGCAGGTGCGGCGCCGTCGGGAAGGTGAGTGTTGTGCCGGCCGGGAGCGACTTGAGGAGCAGCTTTTCGAGCGCTTTGGTTTTTGCGTGGAAGAGAGGGCCGGATTGCGTGTAGCCGTGCAGGAAGAGGAGCTTTAGTGGTGCGGCCATTTTGCGTATGTGAGCGGTGGTTTTGGGGCGGTGGTGGTGGTGGTGGTGGTGAGAGCTGTGGCCGGGAGAGCTCGGTTTTTATGTATGTAGCTAGGTGTAGATAATTAATCATTTCCCTGCTTATCAATCTCTCAAAAAGGCGTTAGTCCGCACACCGGCCGGCCCCTGCATGCGCCACCTTTTCATCCCACAACCTCACCTCACCTCACCCCGCCACACCCGGCACCTCCGACACTCTCTCCCACAGCAGCACTCACTCCCGTCCCCGCTCTCACACCGCACACCGCAGACCGCACAACGCACACGCACACACCACAGCACGCAATATGTTCCCTTCCGCCGCCCTCCTCGGCAAGCGCCTCCAGCTCGGCTGCTACGTCAACGTGCGCACGCTGCGCGACCACGCAAAGCGCGAAGCCTTTGCGGCTGCGGAGCAGACGCGGCAGGCACTCAAGTACTCTTCCTCTCCCCCCCCCCCCTCCCCTCTCTCTCGCTCCCAGAAGGCTAATGGTGGTGTGAGGTGGTGGTAGATACATCTCGCACAACACGCTCCTGCCGCTGAGGCAGCGCACAAAGGCCATGATCGAGCTGGCGCAGATGGACACCAACACGCGGCGATGAAGATTAAGAACCGCTGCATTATGGGCGGGAAGGGGAGGGGTGTCATGAGGGATTTTAGGGTGTCGAGGGTGAGTTTTCTCTGGGGGTCCTGGGTGTGGGTTGGGGTGGGGAGGAGAGTTGGGGGGGGGGGGGGGGGATGGGTTAATGGGAGAGGGCTAATGTGTGGTAGTTTCAATTCCGTCTTAATGCGCGCGAGGGGAATATTCCGGGGGTCAAGAAGGCCGTTTGGTAGTTTGGGGAGATGGGGAGGAGGGGGGAGGGAGTATATTGTACATTTTTTTAGAGGGAGGGGGAGATACAAATATTTCTTTTTAGAGGATAACGATTGGGGTGTTAGTAGGCGATCAGTGGTGGGGTACTGATTCTATAGGTACACAGCTTCACCGTGATACTTACAGGATAGAAAAAACATATGCTGTTTAGACATTCCCCACCAGCTAGATGAGTAATTGGCAATGATCGAGCTGCATGTTCCGTCCGTAAACCCGTGTTTTGATCATTTCTGTGCCATGACCCTTGAAACCTACACTTGCGTATTCTCTGCCATGTTAAGCCAGTCGCCAGTCTATCAAGTCGTATCCTTTTGAGTTGTCGGCCCTTTTTATGGGGGCCTTTGTATCAATCAGTTTCTAGAACTAGATCAATCTTCTCTCGTCAATAACTTGAACACCTATCTTGGTTTGTTTATCTGGTCAATTGCCATTGGTATCATAATCTGTATTATTCTAGCATATTCGTGCCTTTCTACCATTTGTATACGGGAATCGAAGCCGCTATAGAACTACTAGCAATACCGCATTCTCATGTTCTGTGAGATGAGCTAGGCCGGCAGCTATATAAAAGAGACTTTCAATTGATGAATCTTACGACGATTTTCAATATAGCTCCTAGCCGCCATTGTCCTATAGCTATCTACTGCTATCACACTGAGTATCTACGCCCAAGGATAGCTAGTGGTGCTAAAGCTAAATATTGGAATTCACATATAGTCTATGGCCACCCCGACCCACTCAGTCAGCCCCCCCCCCCAAGGTTCATCTTGGGGGAACCGGTAGTCGGATATGTCAATTTTAGGCTGTCGGGGGGTGTACAGCTTGAAACGTACATACCGCCTAAAGAACTGAGCGTCACCGGTTCTCACTCGGATTAATGACTATGGATGAAGGTGTGTTGTTGATTGTCATTACGTACATGAATGTGATTAATTTATTGATTTATAACTCATTAATGATGGGGTCTAATTAAGGAATTTGAGAGTCCGTAGGTTGGTTCCTATATATAGTAGCTAGCCAAGGGCGGTGTGAATTATGGTGAAGAGGGGTTTTTTTATATATATATTTAATTCAATATGGTGAAGGGTGAAATTGATGCAGCTTAATTGGATAATTTTTCGTTGGATAATATCTATATAGAGTCTCGGGGTGGCAATCGAAGGTTCTTTGAAGAGGAGACAAAGGGTGGGTTACTGATGATGAGGAACCGAGACCTTCGCTGGTTGAAAATTTGACAGGTAATTGCTTAATTGTGGAGGCGCTTGTTTAATTTTGTCTATAGGCACTCTGATGGGTAGATAGACCTATCGTAGTAGGAATTTCCGTATCTCTGGTATATAATGTGCTCCAATTTTAAGGTGAGACAATGTTGGTATAGCACACTCGGCAAAGCCATACATGCACTCGAGGAAATTTCGCGGGAGTTGTACGTCTCGCACATTCATCACTGAGGTGCCCCGCCCCATAGCTGCTCCCAACTCGTCACCGTCATTCATCTACACCCCAATCCACCACCACCAACAGAAACTCTTTACATCCCCGCTTCTTGTCTTTCTCACAGATTTAGAAAGCGCCCACTTCATGCCGATGTCCGAAATGTCGATGGTAAGTCTTTGAAGATCCCCCGATTCTATTTTTTTGATTATTGCTCACATTGCAAATAGCAGCCCATTGGCCGCCTGGCCCACGACCACATACTTTCTATACTTTTTGCCTTTTCCAGCCTCGGAGATCTCTATAAATTCGCTGCTCTCAACCGCGGATTTTATTCTGTTTTCTTTTGTTATAGAGCCCAAATCGAGTACAAAGTGGTCCAAAATTTCATCGGGAGGACTCATGGGAGGATGCAAAGGTCATCCTCATCTATCAACGGGCGGTGACCAGACGCATACGTACCCCGATACATTTTTATCCGTACAAGGTCGAAAAAGAAGTCCCAGATGCCTTCCTTAGGGAGAAGTTTGTCTTGATGGCAGGGGAGCTTAGACGACTGGTCTTCAACAACTTCGTTTTTACACAGTGCGTCAATGCGCATGAGCCCACTCTCAACAACAGCATAGCCGGCCCCATTGGCGAGTACTATCGTCTCGCAGCCATTGCCCTCAAACGTTTCTACATCCGGAGTTCAGCGCGCTGTTCGAGGCGATGGGTCTCTAGATCTATCAGAGTGTCAATTCCACATTATGGCGCTATCTCCCAAAACCTATTGGACATGAAGTTTTGGCTTGAATGCAATTCTCGAAAGAATGCCACTATCAGTGCCTTAGCGCTAAAAATGATCGAGTTTAAGGTCGATAGGTACCGAGTACTACCGGCTCGGCCCTCGAAAGGATGAATGGGTCCGTGGTCAGCCGTGTATTATACAAATCGGTGGGAATTACGAAAGAATATAACATCGGTATGTACTCACCATATTTCCATAAAAAAGAAAGTAATAAAGATCCGTAAGCTGCAGGTCCGATAACAATATCTTGTGATACGTCTTGAATTGGG